TGTATCCCATGAGGGCAGCTTACCGAGATTTATGGTCGTTACGTCATGGGCAGTCGCAATTGGCATTTTCATTCGGTATAAGGGGGATTTCTACACATAAACTCTGCGATTTTGAGCACCCATAAATTTAATCAAAAGTGGTTTCTCGGACACGAAACCCTGCTGAACATTGAAGACCTGTTTGATCGGATGTTTGGGTGTAAAGCCTTTACGAAGATTGATGATGCATCAGGATATCACCAAATGCTTGTGGGTCCAGAAGCAAGAAAATACACTGCGTTTCGCACGCACCGCGAAGCCTATGACTGGTGTGCTGCGCCTATGGGTATGGCTGGGATGCCAGGAGTATGGTCCAGACTCACGAGATGTCTATTTGACAAATTTCATTTTGTAGTAGTTTATATGGACGACATTTGTGTCGTTTTCAAAACTATGAAAGATCACATGGATCATTTGAAGATTGTTTTTGAAGTATTGAGACAAGAATAACTGTACGCAAGACCAACAAAATGTGTTGAGAAATTAGATTTTCTAGGACATACTATATCAAAAGAAGGATTACGTGTGGATTCGAAGATGATAGCGCCATAAAGGAATGATCAGAGCAGACTACTCCCAAGAACTGTTGAGTTTTCTAGGACTAGCAGAATATTACAGAAAGTTTATCGTAGACTAAGCCAAGCTAGTCTTGCCACTATGTGATCTCATTAACCGTCTACGATATGGTGTTGGGATGAGAAAAAGCGTAAAGCATTTTTGACAATCGAGCTCGCATTGCAGCAAGTGCTAGTGCTGCAATTGCCAAACAACGATCGACCATTTATCCTGACAACCGTCGCATCAGGATATGACTGTGGAGCTGTGATCTCGCAGCAAGATTCAGACAGCAACGACCGTCCTGTAACCTTTTTATCATAGAAACTGGGTCTACATGAGCTGAACTGACCAGCACATGAGAATGAGCTGTACGATATCAAGCTAGCGTTGAGAAAATGAAAACATTACCTGCACGGAACGCATTTCAACATATTTACAGACAATTTGGCATGCAAGTGTTTATGAAGACGCCGATGTTGACGGCAAAGTTGACACGATGGTTGGACTATTTCAGTCGGTTTGATTTTATATTGCACAATCGACCAGGAAACTGATCAGCACTAACCGTACGCCTCGAACTTTGCAGAAGGATATCAAACTTGTGCAAAAAGTCTAGAGAGAGCTCGAGCCAGACAAAAGTCTTACTATGACAAGAAACGATCGAACGTCACTTTCAAACTTGGAGATTAGTAGCGACCATAAATTTGCCATTGAAAAATGCTCGGACAAGTGACAAGAATGAGAAGCCAGCATTGGTACCGCGCATCATTGGACCATTCGAAATCACCCAAGTCATAAATGAGAACGCCATGAAGCTCGAGTTGCCAAAGTCGATGCAGAAAATGCATGATGTGCTCGACGTGAACAGACTGAAGCATTTCAAGGAAACACCAGAACAATGTAAGGCAAGACCAATACCAGAAGCTACACCAATTTATTTCTCGATGAAAACACTGGTGAAGAATTATTCATCGTCGAAGCGTTACTGGAAAAACGATGAGTCAATCGTAAGCAAGAATTTGACGAAATGAAATGGATATCCGGAATATGAAGCAACAAGAGAGCCGAAGAAGTGTCTAAAACATATTTCTTATTTTAAGGAATTGATCAGAGAGCTAAACGAAAGAACTGTTCAAACACAAGACGGCCAAAATATTACAAGACATCAGGGAAGAGTGTAATGAGTGATGTCTTGATGGTATAATGTGTACCGAGTTACACAAGATGACGGGCCAAGAGTTAGCGATTACCAGTTAAAGTAGAAGCTTCGAGAAGATTCCAGAAGGAGTGATATCAATGTGGAAAAAGCCGTAAATCTTCCATCTATTTTCTCCATGACCGGATTGGAAGATCAAGAACACGTGGATGCATGATATATACATGTAGATAATTTACAAGCACATAAACAGCAGAAAGATTAACAGAACCACGATATCTTTTCGAATTTGCCACCACCTCCAAAGCTCGTCGAGCGGGCATGAGCCAATGGAAAT